TTTCCTGGCCCGCCGATATAAATAATTACATTACAATCTAGCATGTATAAGAGATGTCGAACAACGTAAGTAAAGTTGGCACGATGTTCGAGTTATTTTTGCCAATATTCATTTCAGTATATGTGCTGGTGTTTTAAATGACTGTATTGGATACAGAATTGGATTCTCTATCGAATGGTATGATTTTTTTTCGATAAGGATCACCGACCAAAAACCCAAGTTTTTGACGAAACAATGGGCTTTCTGGTCTTTCAAAAATTTGTAATTCTTGCTAAGATTCGTCTGAGAGCTTTTGCTGAGTCTAAAAATGGTTGCGTTGAACTCAGAATTTCATTCTCTATCGAGTGATATATTTTTCGACATGGGTTATTGAGACAAAAAATTCTCACACCCACACCCACACTTCAAAGTGGTAGTTTTGAGATTTCTTCTCTCATTGAAGAATTATATCACCAACGGTGCAGTAACGCACTCACATTGCTTTATGAAGCTTTTTTAAAGCTATTTGCTAGTGACTTTGACAATAACTACACGCCATTTACTACCACTAAGTTGTAGACTAAGCATCGGTATGCCTGCTAATGCTTTCGTTTTCATCACAGAGGAAATAGATGTCAAAATATAGCATGAAACGAAAGTGCATTTTTAAGCGAATTTTACCCGAAAATAGTTAAATTTTGCTGGCAGCTTCATTGCTTTACATATCTTTCGCAAACTAGTGAAATAGTTCAATAAATAATACCCGAAAACCTATATAAAAACTTCGAATGAAGACGATCGCTCGGTTCGCCTACGAGAATCGTATAACTGTAACCTTAATAGTGCTGGTTGACCGTTAGCTAGACAAGCCAAGATCTAACAAAAGTTGAAGATATTGAGCAGAATGCAAATATTTTGTTCGTTATATCAAATGGTAATATTTAGATCCAAATTCAAACTGAAAACAATGGCTAAATAAATAAATGTTTATTAAATCCAAAAAAGCTGTACAAAGACAGTAAAATTCGGCGACAGATGTTATATGGATATAAATAATATGCTTTATTGTTCTGTCTATGATCATCATGTAGTCGAAAAAATACCGCTTAATCGCAGTGTGAATCAATCGATGATTGTTGCGAGGACAGTGAATAAACGTGGAAACGCATCCAATATGCTTCATAATCCTCATGAAATCTTTGCCCGTACTAGTCTCAGTTTCTGTGTGGCAGATATTGAAAACAATAGAATTCAGCATTTCCTACCAGGAAAAACGAGCGGCACAGCAATAACGAAAGATATTAGAATAGACGGTGTTGAACTCAATGGTCCTATTTCAGTCATTCTTGACGCAAGTGTACATTTATACATTGCAGACTGTGGAAATAATCGCATCATCCAATTAGGATCTCATAGCGTTCGAGAATGGCCTAGGCGGATCTGGGTTTGGCCTGGGTCCGAGATTGGACGCCGAAGTATATATAAGAATGCAATACAGAACTTATTAGAAGAAAAAATTTTCTTGTTGCGATTGACACTTTGACAAACAATATGATAAGAATATCTTCGCATTTGATAGGTTCAACATCAAATGGTATAATAGCAATAAGAAAAATTTCAAGCTAACGTATTTTTTTCTCAAATGTTTTATATTAAATTAACTACTTTACTTTTTCAACTAAATATTCAATCTCATTATTTATTCCAAAGTTATGCGATGACGCTTCCAATATTGGTTCTACTTGTATAATAGTTCGAATAAGATCGGTTTTCCATCTAATCCATGTAAAAGCAATAGTACATGTATCGATATAAATAAAATACTCTTGGTTTTATCTGTTTCTGCCACTAGGTCACAGTGGAACATATTGTGAGTTTAATCATCAACCTTCTAAATCATATGCCTGCCTAAATCATGGTATTTATATAGTTTCCTTCTTTTCTTCTCTTATAAAAACCATTATTTACAAATAGGCGAATGTTTTGAAAATCACCAGCAACATTATATCGTACGTGTAACGGTAGTTCGAAATTTCTTTTCTAGGGAAGATCGTAAAATACAAGGTTGAATGTAACTGAAAATGTAAATTGATCTCGTCGTGGAGTTCGTAGAAGAACTTACCGGTAGATCGTTACGAGCATAATGACTTTTCTTTTGTTTTCAATATTTACAAGGATAACTACAAAAATTAGGTATTACTACACGTTTTATTTTGTTATGAACAAATTTTCATTTCAATACGAATACCATGTCGCCTTCATCTCGATTGCTCATTGCTAATCATTACAGATTTCCGGTTGTTCCATTCCGGTCTGTAATTAAATTTGTACCGCTCGATCCTTATTGATTAATACTGAATGTTTTAGTTACGATGTTCGTAACGGACATCGGTTCCGGAAGTTCAGAAAGATAAAGTGGTACGAAACGTAGTTCACCCCGCGTAACGATATGGTTGGCAAGGTATTCATTGGGAATCAATGATAGATTATTGTAATTTTAAAAAGTCACATGTCATAATAATGGCATTTATCGACTCTTATTACTTAATTACACAATATGAATGTTTTGGGAATGATTATTCCTCTGGTCGTCATTGTGGAAGTAACATAAAGGAAAATTCAAATTTTTAAATTAATGTCAAAATCATATTGATACATTGGAAGTTTTGCTTTAATTGTTATTGTTAGTTTGATTGTAATTATGGATATATGAAAATATTGTTTTGGTATTGATCCAATTTTTGAAGAACGATGAAAGACCCGATGAGCGAAATTAACGGTAGAACGAAGATGAGTTGTCATTCAACGAGTTGTTTATATTAGTCGACCTTCTCAACAATCAACAACGAACATTCCGAATATTACTGTAGAAGATACAACAGTTTAAAGAGACAAAGACACATTTTCACTTCCTCACCATCTTTCTTCTTCTAGCTAATATATTCAAAAATATCAATTTGAAAAAGATTTTGCTTCTGTATAATTATTTTGGATGACAATTACAATTACAAATATCACCATAAGGATGAACAAGAAAATTACCACTATAGTAATCAATAGTGGAAGGATTAACATAGACATGATAGTAACCAACAGGACGATCATCATGACCACCGCGACCATCAGCAATATAAAGACAATTACGACAACTATCACACGGCTTCTTTTGATATAATAATAATTCTTTTTCCAAATTCGTTTTCATATTATCTAAAAATATACGTAGAAAAATAAAAATAGAAATAAATTTCTCTTTGCTTACCAAGTGATTCCAGTCGATCCATTAAATTAATTATTTGATTAGATAATAACTCAATTTTAGCATCTTGACGCTTTACTTTCTCCTTCAGAACTTCGTAATCAGTGTTAGAGGCCATCTAGAGATTCGATAGATTGTATATAATATAAAACAAAAAACTAACGAAATTGAATCGCTGCTAAATATCAAACTCGAATAACATTCGATGGTCACTTATATACGTAGAAAAAAAGTTGGAGTTTTCCATGTGAAAGTCGTGTATTATAATCAATTAAAATGTTCTCCAAGTAAAAGGTAAAAATATTTACATTTGTTTATCTTGGAAAAAACCTTTTTTTAATACATTACAACGCACACTTTTACTGCTTACGTCAACATGAAAAGAAAAGAACGTCTGACTTTTATTGACTACAACGTATTCTTTTTGAATGCAGTTGCATACATCACTTGAAATTACCGTCTCCTAAAATAACAGCTGAACTTTCTTTTCAGTCAAGTAATCTCACAAGTCTTGTCATACATATGGAAAATCTCAGATACCTTCTGTTTTGATATCTGATTGAGTCGATGATTAAAATCAATTTAAACGAAAAAAAAAGCATCGAGCGAAATTGAATCAATATTGAGGAGACAATGAAGTTTCATTAACTCACTTTTCTCTAGTTATGAAACACTGTAGCTCTATAAAAGTTTGTTCCCAAACTCATTCAAGGGATCCGCAGCAAAATGATTTAAGAATATATAATCAATAAATGAGACAGTGCTTTATTCAGCTCATGACTTGTTATGTTTTTCTAGCTATAAAGGAAATGGTTTATTTCCAAGTTCAATTACTGTCAATGATTTTGATAATAACACAAAACTAGATATTGCACTGACTAATTCTAGTGTATGAATACTTCAAGTATCTTTATTGGAAGAAATTATGGTACATTTGCGAAATATGATGATTTGTCCATTAAAATATAGATCTCAACCATTTTCATTCGCACATGATGATTTTAATCATGATCAAAAGTTGAATTTTGCCGTTGGAAATGCTGGTAGTGATAGTCTTAATATTCTTTTACAAACTTGTTCATTTGATGATAATTGACTTTATCTATACAATGCGAATAAGATTATTTAGATATTGTGAAGGTTCATACAAACTACAATATGACTAGACTCATGCAAAACATATGGTTTCGAATGTCACAACAAATCAAATAAATATACATAGGGCGATCCAAACGTTCTCGAAACATGGCTGTCATTTTTTAGAAGACACTCTTTTTACGGATTCGAATAGAGATCAGAATGCTCTATGTTTCTATGCAATATGGTCATACTTCGACTGCGATACAAAAAGGGTATTTCCAATAGGCGACTTTTTGCGAATGCCTCGTAGTCATACGAGTATTGATACGTATTTGTGAATAAATTTCGATAGGAACAAGATAGAGAGCTGTGCTTTTTACCATTATGGAAAGAACGAGTAAAGGTGCACTGAATTATATTATTATTATTATTCAAACATTAATAGCTAATGTGTTTTGAATTGGTTTTCTAGTTCACATAAAATTTGTTTTGCTTTCGAAAACCAAAACAGCAAGTAGTTTCGCGCAAATTCATTGAAGAATGTTCCAGTTTAACTACCATTCGTTGTATTGATTTCAGATTTTAGTAATTTCGAGTTCCTCGACTAAAACTTTCGATCTAAACCCAAGTTTTCAAAATTCACCACAAATCATTCATATTAACTCATGTAATAGATCTGTTTGCAAAAAGTAAAACTAACAGTCATACTTACACTTCATGAGAATGTACGCAGAATTTGAATCGATGCGCCTTCGGGCGCTCGTCAGAATGGCGAAAACTCCAGCTCTCTATTTTGCTCCTATCAACAGTTACTCAAAAAATTCTTTTCATTGTATGTCAAACCAGCGCACATTATATCCAGGAAGTATTCGCAGAGAATCGCTTTTTTTGAAATACCACTTTTCTATCTCAGTTGAAGTATGGTCACATTGCATAGAAACATAGAGCATTCTGTTCTCTATTCGAATCCGTAAAATATCTTGACAACAACAAGGAGTAAATATAAGCTATAGTATGTGTTTGCAACGTCATTTGCATGCATATGAAATATACATTGCATGCGAATGACTTCTGGTAAGAAAAAGTACAGTCTAACGTAATTGCATTTACATATAATTAATAAATCTTTGTATTAGTACGTGCGCCGCCGTTTGATTCTGAAGAAGCCTTTCAGATGTATTCTTATTTATGATAGAAATTTCGAACTTTTTTAGACTGAAACGTAAATTTTGATTTTTATTAGTAAGTATCACAGAGAATGTTCGAATCGTTACAATAATGCAATGAGTACTAATCTAAAAAACAATGGGATAACACGAAGTAATCATTATCGTATGCCATTGACTTTATTTTCGTACAAACACAATGCTGTAGTTCATCATTCACAATCTCAACCATCCACGTTCAAAATCCCTGGTCAAAGTCGTCGTTCGTTATCTCAAGATCAAGTAAATTTTCTTTTCTTTTAAATATTTCTGTTTATAAATTATCTCGATATAGAACTCTCGTTCACGAACAAAAGACAAACGATCTAAAGTTATTATTCATACAACGATCCGATCGGTAACAAAGAGTATTAATTCAACCAACAATAAATTACTCTCAGCAGTAAAGTTTTTTAAATATTGAATTATTCTGTCTTTTCAAAAAACAATGGGACACACGTTGGAGATATTTTGAGAACGAAATATGTTATCATTTTGGTAGTTTATCGCGGAAGTTTTCCTTTTTAGCCTATGATTAAATATTCGAATTACGTTTAAAGAGTTTTCATTTGCGAATTTAATTGTTTTCTACCTCCATTTCTTATGCTATAGCCGTCTCACATTCAAGATACAAATCATGATCGGGAGAAAACACCACGACAAAATAGCTCGCCAACAAGGACACACGATAAAGTCGAGAGATTTGAAGAATACAATCAAGGTACCTCGTCAATAGCCAACAACCAAGCACGGGTAAAAACAAACAGAGCTAAATCTTATCGGAAAATCGCCAATTAGTTATAAAACACTTTCAATCGACTTTATGATAAAACTAAAACTAGAAAGAAAATCAGTAGAGATTGAAGCAGTTTATAATCTACTAGCTTGTGTTATAGTATCAGCGCATACAAAAATTAAATACTTTTTCGCTCAATTTGTAGAATGCAAATTATTACAGAACGGTAGATGAATATCTAAGCAAAACTTCCAATGAAATTTCTGATTTATTTTGTGTCTATATTCATCCTTTAAATCAATAATGTAGATAAATGATAAACGGATAAACCAAACCGATTTCATAGATATACGACATCAGAAATCAAAAAGAAACAAAAAGAGAGGGTAAATAAGTATTGTATTTTATTTGTTATTATATTTTAATTAGTTTTCTTTATCCCTTCTGCTGGAAATGTTCGCCTTGCTGTTACTTTTTGTCTCTAACTGCTCTTATTCTTCTTGGCGCTATTATTACTACATTACTACTCTTGTTCGTCACAAAGCCTAAATCTGCAGCAATGACAACAACACCGTTTGTAAACGTAACGATAGTCTCGACAGCAGCAACGACGATGTCCACAACACCATCACCAACGATCTCGACTACAGTTTCGACAACGGCTTCAACCACGATCTCGACTACAGTTTCGACAACGGCTTCAACCACGATCTCGACTACAGTTTCGACAACGGCTTCAACCACGATCTCGACTACAGTTTCGACAACGGCTTCAACCACGATCTCGACTA